ACAAAAAAAACCTTTGGCTTATATGATCTCCTGGGTCTGTTGTAGCGCAGACATTTTATGAGCATGGAGAGAATAAATTTTAGTGTTCTACTTCTACCAGGCATTGCCATTTAAGCCTTTTACTTCTAATTGTGGAATGAAAGGCTTTGGTCCATCTTGAAGGAATTCCAGGCATTAGGCAAGCAAACAGGTGGTAGGACTTTGGGGAGAGCGCTGAAATTAATCTGTGCCTGTTTGTAAGGTTAATCCAGAGGACCTGAAGGTAAACCTGGTTTAGCCTCTGAATATAGCTGGAGGATCGGGGAGGTTAGTTCAGAAAAGATGATCCACTGCCTCCTCTGTGCCCAGACAGGTTCTTCCCTCCCAAGAGCCGGCTGCAGCTGTTGGTGACCTGTTCAGGGATTGTTTGGGGTTGGGGGAGCATCCTGGGTTTGCACACATTTCTTTTCCAGGCTTCCCTACCCCAGCATGCGTCCGTCAAGATGGCTCCTCCATCTGCGAACTGCTTCATCCTCACTCTGTCCCTCCCTGACCACAAGTTCAGTTTCCTGCCCTTTCGTTTGCTTTAACAGCTTCATTTTCTGCCTCCAAAACTCTGAATAAGAGGATTTTTTGAAATATTTTCTATCATTTGAGGTATTTTATGATATTTTCTCTAATGTACTTCAAGTTTCCTATGCCTCTGGGGATGAAACTTCTAAGTTTCAGCTTTTTATTAGGATGTGTCAGAATCCTACTGTTTTAGGAATCTTACTATGTTTAGAAATCTTACTATTTTTAATGATGAATATGTCAGTAATGTAGCACAGAAATGTTTATAAGCTTCTAAAATGAATGAAAAATGAAGGAAACACTTGTTTATAGTATAATGTAAGAGTACTTTACAGTTTCATCCTAACAATAACCATATAAATGGGGCAGAATGAATATTATTTATCAGATAGCAGATTAAAATCAAAGAGATTAGTTGAAAGTCAGCTCAATTCACAGAGTAGTGAAAAATCCATAGGTTTAACTCTGTTCCATGTTCTCTTTAGTATATTAAATTGCCTCTGAATAAGGTGATATTAATCTCTTGCAATCTTGTTCACATACATAGTCAACTTTTTATCAAATTCTCAAATAGAATCACTATGGACTAAGTAAAAAGAAAATATAAAGAAAGCAAAAGAGGGAGCTGATATTTATTGAACACCTAGTATGTGTCTTTATATTTGTTAATTACCTCCTCCATTCAGTACTAATGACCTGTGTCAGTGGTGACCATTAAGCCATTCTTGTAACAAGATAGCTACCTTTTCCCTATTCTCAGGTGTTTATGACAACACACTTAAGCACAGTCACCCAGGGCTTGAGCCTTCCCTTTGCTTTTTATCCACACGATACCTGCTCTCCAAAAGCAGACACAGCCAGAAATGTGTGTTGAAATAGAGAGCAAGAGGTCAAAACAAAACACTCAACCAATGATGAATACTGAGACTCTTCTCTAAATGCTTCCTGTGTGTTTATTGTAAATGTTTATAAAAGGTAAAAATATTCTCAAAGACAAAATCCTTGTGAAAAAATATCTTCACAGAGTACCAAGAAAGATTACATTTAAACTCAGCCTTGAAGTATTACACACTTAGGAGTGGAGAAGAGTGAAAAGATCCAACTAATAGGGGTAGAATTGACAGCTTTTGGTAATTCATCTGATGATTCAGGGAATTGTATTCCAGCTACTTCCGGTAACCACCCACTCTCATGACCACATGAAGGCCCGTAGTCTGGCATATATTTCCTTCTAGGTACATATCTAACTTTAGAGAAGAGCCTTATCAAGTGGGTACATCATTAATGAGGAATAGTGCATTCAAACAATATTAGTCATGGGCCAAAAGAACTGGTGTGGTTTAGGAGGCTTTCCTTTGTTATTTGATGAACTGGGCCTATCTGAAGTTGGGTTTATAGTCACTGGTTTTTAAAGAATTTCCATGATGCTGAATTTTTACTAATTCTAGCTCAGGCTAACAGCTTGCATCTATTTTTGAAAGTTAGCAAGAACTCTTTCTGCAGCATGAACAGTACCAATTGTCCTGAATGTTCTAATCCTGAAGAGCAATCTGGTTTTGTCATCTCTTTCTGTTTTCTGTAATTCATTCTTCGTAGAATGAATTTTCTACTTGTAAGTTTTCTGTTGTTGATAGCTACTGTTTTTTTCTGTTCCCATTCATATTCTTGCACCAGTTTCTTTTGCAGAGTCATGTCTTTCTGCTGATAGAATTCACTGAGAATTTCTGTTGCAAAGATCTGGCCAAGTTTAGTGAATGAGATCCATGTTCCAGTTTCTGTATGTGTTCATACAGCTCCTGTCTGGCTGACAATTCGTCATTCAGTTTGGAATGGGAATGGCCGCTACCTTTTATGACCATTGTTAACATTAGTTTTGTCTGATTTCTCTTTTTTGATTATTTGTTTTCTCACTCTGTTCTGCCAGCTGTCCATTGACAAATTCATCTCATCCATTTCATTTTTATTATTCTTTTTGTCTTTAAGTTCAGAAGCAAGATCAAATTATCTTACCTGTACAGTAAGCTTCTTTAAACATCAGATTATTCTCTTTGTAAGTAAGATCTTTACCTAGGCCTTTCTGAGAGTTTTGTATAATTTATTAGTACACCAAGCTCAGTATAATGCTCCCTGCAGTCTTCTGATTCCGACAATAATTATAACCTGGTTTTCTTAAATCCAGTATTTTCTTTATAAATTCATTAGAGTTTAGATTCCGTCTTCTCATAACCTAGTTTAAATTCATTTTCTCTGTCAAATGTTATGACATTCTTTGTAAAACCCTACTATATTCAATAGATATCTGTCTTGCCAAATGCCATTTCAGTTTGTTTGCATCTTGTTCTTCAATTCTCAATATTACAAGTGGATTTTCCATAGTATTTGATTCTTTAAACCTGATTGAATATTTAATCCACATATGTTCAGAAATATTCATATTTTGTTTTTTGATTTCTTCAAAAGATGTGGGTGCTTCTTTAATCATTTTTTCATAATCTTCTCTTTGTTAAATAAAAATTTATGTATTTCTTAACATTCGTGCAATCTATTGTTTTTATTTGATGAAATCTGTTTGAAAAGCACGTTCTTCAGGGGAAAATGGCAAGTAAGCTAATTCCCAATAAATAAGTAATAATTAGAGTCTTCTAAGACATGCTGTGAAAATCAGGGCTGGGCCTTCTGGCACCTTCGTTGTAGGGAAGACAACAATCAGTCGAAGTACTTTCCATTATAATTTCCCTCTGGTATTTCCTAATGTTTTCTCTTTATCTTTGAATATTCCTAAGTTTCTCCTTCCACATGGTTAGGGTAAATTATTTTTACATGCAACTTGAAATGTAAGTTCAATAATAGGACTACTATATTCAGTTTTGGAAAATTCAAATGGCTTATAATGGTCCTACCATGTGAACCAAAGACATTATGAGTATACAGTGGTTGCTAAATAGTTCTTAGTTTAGGTGCTGTTGTACTAGAAAAAATATAATTCTTAGTCTTACGGAAGTTTTACATATTAGATTATGTCTGTGTGTGTGTGTGTGTGTGTGTATGTGTGATTGAACAAGTGTATAACTTTATATTTTTCAGGACTTTTAGGGCTCTCTGGGTTTATTTACTAATTTATATGATTCTTTTACTGTTCCCAATCTGGCCAAGATACCTTGTATATGATGAAAACATCCCTTTATTCTAGAATATAGAAAGAAATTTCAGATTTTTCCTAATATTTTCTATTGGTTTTATTGCTCAATTGTTTTTTAACCACTTACAAAACACAGATGGTCAGACTTATTCTGTGTAAGCGTTTGGGAGGAAACTAACTGCCCCACTGATGTTTTTATTTCTCATGATAGTATTTCCATGTGGGAGCCGGTAGCTCAGGATCACATTGAAAGTCGCCTGGATACTAAGGCCTATGCTGCTTGTGTCTTGAACTTTGTAGAGTTTGGAAGTCATCAGTCCTACTTAGCAGCTCATTCTTTAAAATCAGGCAGTTCTGTATTTTCCTTGGCCTTCTTCTTCTGGCAAATTTTATAAGACCTCAATTCTCATTGTGGGCTAATTATTCTCTTCTGTTTGCCTGAACCATAATTCAGTGCAAGGCTACTCCTGCCCAAGGAAATGAGGACAGAAATTATATAATTGAGAATAATGGCTTGAAAGCCATGAACATCTAGAATCTTGTGCTAAGTCTGATGCATACTAGCTTGGTGGTCTTTACTGGTAACTTACTTAAAAAAAAAAAAAAAGAAAACAACTTTTTTTTTCTCTGTTTTTAAAGAGGGATCATCATAAATGCTATTTATTGGATAACAATAATGAACTCGCCCTTGTAGAAAAATCAGGCCTACGATTACTACCTAAACACTGCCTGATTAAAAATGTTGTGATTTTATTCAGGTGGTTGTTGATCAGTGAAATTCCAATATATTCACATTTAATGAAATACAAATATTTGTAAAGATTATTTTCCATTACTAATATATACATTTAACTAACTGCTAACTAAATGTTTTCAGAAAATTATGATGAACCTGACTGAAAAGAAACTATAAATCATCTGAATTTAGTACTTTTAAACTATTAATTCTTACTTTATATACTGAAAAGAAATATTCCCAAGAAGCATAAAACTCAACACCACCAATTTTCTTAGCAAACCCTTTATTTATTGATGATATCAAAGCAGGATGAACAAAAATTCTGAATTATTAGTGTTCTTAAATAACACTAGATGATCATGTGTCTAGAGTAGCTTTTATAATTAAATGAAGCTTAAGAGTTTTGCTGAAACACAGTACCAACCTTTACAAATATCTCATCCCTTTCTTGAAGTTAGTTGTTAAAAACAATGAGAAAACATGAGACAATATATTGAAAGTATTTACTAGCCATTTTGGAATGAGGGAAAAAGTTAAACTACACTCAAAAAATTACGCTTTGTATTTCAGGCCCTCCGGGGAAACGAGGTAAGAGAGGCCGAAGAGGAGAATCTGGTAAGTCTCTCTTTCAGCTGCTCTATGTCACTCATGTTCTGGTTAAGTTCCGGCATCTGTTCTTCCTAATTAATGATAATATTATCTTGTTGGAGGTTGTGAGTGTGTGTTTATTTAAATCTTCCCTGCTAGACCTAGTGTTTTTATTTTTAATCTTCTGATTTCTATCAAACTATAAAAAGGAGAGGTTTGCAAAGTATTGTTAATTGTAGTTTAGGAACAATTGGTACCCATTTTGGGCTTATTTACTGGGTCAAGCTAAGTTTGTCCTTTTTGTATACAATGGAGGACTTCTCAGATGCACACAGTGTGATAGCATCACCCATGTTTTTGTCTATGTAGGTGGTCGGTAAATGCAGGTCCTTTACAAAACCATCTGCCTTGGGACACTAGGGCACATGTCTTAGCTGTATTACTATTTTATCCAATTGGCACAATTTTGTCATGCTTTTACTCTTATTCTTTTCAAAATTTGGGAATGTTTTATTCTTCTTGTACAATCATGGAATTTCAGTGTTGACAGGAGTCTTAGTAATCAATCCAGAATTTTCATTTTGTAGTTGAGGAAATGGAGGCCCATAGCAGTCAGGTGATTTGGCCAAGGCAGAACTTAAACAGAACCAATTGTCCTGATTCCTACTTCAAGACATTCTTGCTTTCAGGCCAAATCCCTATGTGTAAAACAAATCCACAATGTAAAACAGAAAAATCAAGTAAAATTTCTTTTGAAACCAAGGTGATCTGTGTAAATGAGTTTACTTACAATTGTTTTTCTTTTCTTTGGAAATGACCACATAAAGTCTTATCAGGCCATTAAATCTTCCATGTAAGATAAAGTAATTTAAGGTTTGGCTCTAGCATGCTGTAAATTGTTATTTTTAAGTATTTTCTCTAAGTATTTGTCAATATTAAAAATAATCAATTAGTAAGTGTTGAAACAGTAGACACATTAACCTATCAAGAAGAGCTGACAGGAGATTGATGTGTGTGGTTTTTTTCTTGTCTCATTTCCTCTTCCATTTTAAGAAAAATGTAAAAGTAAAAAAAATTTATGAAAATATATTAATTTGAGCAGTATAGTTGCTTAATATTTTTAAAGATTGTTGTCAAAAGCTACTTTAAATGTGATTGAATCTAAATAGTTGGAAACTTGTATAGGCATCCCTTTACAAAGTACCAAGCTTTCTAACAGAAGAAACTTTATGAATTTGTTTTGAGGAAAAAGAAATGATAAAACATTAGTGGAGTCAGATAATCATAGAAATGATCTTTGATCATTGTCAAAGGAAAGAGAATTATGGGGGAAAAGTGAAAAATTTACGTTTATACAAGTTTCATAGAAAATAAAAGCCAATTTACAACTTCCTAGCTACTTGGAACTAGTATTTTAATTGAGCATAATGGTGTGTGAAATATTTAAAGTTGTCTTAGACTTTGCCTGTTTTGATGGTTTTAAAGAAACTTACATAAACATGAGGACCTAGTCTTTTATGTATTTACAATAGTGTTGAATAAAAAATTCTAAGGACAAATAATAGGTACATTTCTCATTTGGCTGTTTTACCAAACTCAAGAAGTTATATATCAATTCTCTACAACTGGTCTATTATAAATTACCAAATATTCTCATAATTCATACTTATCTAAACTCTTATAAATTAGTCTTTACTAAGGTATATGAACCTCTCAGTAATTCATAGACAGGCTTCAGGGAATCTAAAAATTACTCGAAATTTTACATAAAATTTTGTGTGTAATTATACATTTTTCTGAAATGATCTCAAAGCCTCCATGGCCTAGAAAAGATTAAGAATCAATGAATTTTTAAAAACTTCCATGTCTGTTATATCATGCTGATGATTATGCTCAAATCTTTTATTTGATTTTAATATTTTGCATATTCACTAACTCATCTCTCCTCCTTCTTCTTTCTCCACCTGCCCCCCAACCCCGCCTGCATAGGTCCTCCTGTAAGTATGTTTGCTGCACTTTGGCTTGTTTGCATTTATCAGGATCACGTATGTTAAAACTTGTTTAAAACATCAAAATGTAGCCTATATGTCTATTAGAAAAATGTTACTGACCTTTTAAGAGTATTCTTAAGTTTGGGAAATTATTTTTTAAGTATACAATTTTGTGATCGTGTGATACATTAGAATGCAATATATATCCATTAAAATTTTTTTTTATTTTCATAGGTTATTAGGGAACAGGTGGTATTTGGTTACATTAGTAAGTTCTTTAGTAGTGGTTTGTGAGATTTGGTGTACCCATCACCTGAGCAGTATACACTTCACCCTGTTTGTAGCCTTTTATCCCTCACTGCTTCCCACCTTTTCCCCTGAGTTCTCAAAGTCCATTGTGTGATTCTTATGCCTTTGGGATCCTCATAGCTTAGCTCCCACTTATGAGTGAGAACATATGATGAAAAACATTTATTTTTGATATGATCACACACCAATTACTCTCATGGGATTTTTGGATAACTTATGAAGCTTCTGATTTTAAATGCTTTTCCTGGAATTCTGAGGTTTCTTTTGTAAGCAAATATCCAAGCTATTTCACAGTTCTTTTTTCATCTGTTTAAACTTGTATCTGAAATATTTGCATTTGCCAGTCTACCAAATGTAGATGGCAACATGATCACGGAAATGATACCCCCAGTGAGCCTGGACCAGTCCTCCCTCCTTAGGCAACACTCCCTTTGAAGTCTGTTGGAGTTTTGCCTGTGTGAAGAGAATGAGATGGAGCCCTTGGAGAGTTTCACTTTCTTTTTTCTTTCCTTGAGTAGGTCATAGCTCCAGCATTCCAGTCTGCTTTGCACTCACAGGAACAGATTATCTTGTCAGCTCTGACTAGATGTGTTTTTGAGTAATATCCTGGATATCTGTGTCTGACCCCAGTGTTTATACTGTGCACTGTGCATTTACAGTAGCGATGATCACTGGCCTTGAGATATTTTCTCATCCCAGATAGCCAGTTTGTTCCAGAGTTCACAGACTCGGCATTGGCAACTTATCTAACAGGCCAGCATGGTCCAGGGAGAGAGGCTTAGCATATACTCGTTTACTTTATTCAGAGGAAGCATTGGCTTCCAAATATCTTTTGCAGTCTTCCTGCCATGTTCAAGGATGGAACATTAATCATGTTAGAAATGACTTTGCTTCTGTAACTGACTTTCAGCTCTTGCTTAATGCTAGGCAGATGGCATGCCCTAGGTCTAGGAGTCTTTACTTTCTGGCTTCATACTTAAGCCTTTTCGTGTTAAGTAAGTAACAAACCGCTGCTACCCAGAGGAAACTCCTGAGGTTACGGCTGGAGTAGAGTGTTCAAGGCTTCTTTCTGTGGAATCCACATTAGCTATGCCAAGAGGTAGTGAAATCTCATTTCTGCCTTAGGAATTCTTCAGGGTTCTAGTACTGCCTCTTTGGTTCCTGGAAAACTCAGGCAACCATATAGCTCTCGCTTTCTTGAGGCCTTCTGTTAGTCTAAATTCTCTACCAAAAGATGTCAATTGTTCCTCCTTTTCTTATTATATATAAGTAAGAGAGAATTAGTATTAAGCCCCTAGTGTAAGGCAAGGAATATTCTAGGTACTTTACATGTATAATTTCATTTTGTTCTCACACCAACCCTCTGATGTTACCATTCCCATTGTTCAGTGAGGAAACTGAGGCTCATAGAGGTTAATTACCAAACGATGCACAGCTAGAGGATTTGCAAAGTTAAAATTCAGTTAGATATGTCTGATTTTAAATCGACTTAGTTTACCACTTTATTTCATTCCTTATGAATTATAGTTGTGCTATAACATGGGTCATTGTTACCTGGGTTTGGCAGGCCATGGGTCAAATCATATTCCTTACTTAAAACAATCACATATACTGGCTGGGCGCGGTGGTGGCTCACATCTTTAATCTCAGCACTTCAGGAGGCCGAGGCAGGTGGCTCACTTGACATCAGGAGTTCAAGACTAGCCTGGTCAACCTGGTGAAACTTTGTCTCTACTAAAAATACAAAAAAAAAATAAAAATAAAAAATAAAATTAGCTGGGTGTGGTGGCATATGCCTGTAATCCTGGTTACTAGGGAGGCTGAGGCAGGAGAATCACTTGAACCCGGGAGGCAGTGGTTGCAGTGAGCCGAGATTATGCCACTGCACTCCAGCCTGGGAGACAGAATGAGACGTTGCCTCAAAAAAACCAAAAGCCAAAAAACAATCACATATAATAAAATTATGGCCCAAAATGCAAAATGGCTAATATATAAAACAAGTATTGATACTGTCCCACCTTTAGTACATTTGAAAGAAGTTATGTTTGGCAAATAGCATCAAACCCAAGAAATAAAGTATAATCATGAGTTTTCATACTGACTAGAAGATAATTCAAGTTACTTATATTCGACATGAAAATCCATTGATTGATTGTACAAAAGAGAAAAAAACATTGATTGTGCTATCTTTACTAATACAGCAAGGACCTACCATAGTACTTAAGACCCAATGTCAGGGACTTCCCTGTGGATAAAATATATGATGAAATCCTCTTGAGCTTCCAATTTTTAAATCTCCATGATACTTTTTAATATCTAAAAAGTATCTGCCCTCCATCAAATTTTGCTTTAGAGTAGGTGGCTTTATAACAAATTTCTGGTACATTTTTTATATCTGAGTAAATATTAATGAACAATGGAATTATTACAATTAGATAAATTTACCAGCAATATGTTTATTGAGAGGCAATACCCAGTAACTGACAATTTTAATTTCTAGGGACTATTCTTATTTTTACATCACCTTAATTTTAGGCACAGTTAACCCTTGAACAATGTGAGGGTGGGGGCACCACCCCTCTGCTCAGTGAGAAACCCACAGATAACTTTTGACTCCCAAAAAACTTTATTACCAATAACCTATGTTGACAGAAAACCTTACCGATAACATAAATGGTTAATTAATACACATTCTGTATGTTGTATGCATTACATACTGTATTCTTACAATAAGCTAGAGAAAAGATGTTATTTAGAAAATCACAATAAAGAGAAAATACATTTATTATTCATTAAGTAGAAGTGGATCATCCCAAGTCTTCATCCTCACCGTGTTCACATTGAATAGTCTGAGGAGGAGAATGATGAAAAGGGGCTGGTGTTGTTATAGGCAGAGGAGAAAGAGAACTGGCATACAAGTGGACCAATGCGGTTCAAGCCCTTGCTGTTTAAGGTTAACTGCATATTTTTTCCTTTCACTTCTTTTGCCTGAGCTAAAATCTGTCAGTTTCTGTAATTTTATTTTTAGAGAAATGTATTATCCTACTTTGTGTCTTTTAAAACGTTATTCAACTACCTCCACAAGTAAGCTATCGAGGCATATATTGTCATGTTAATCACAGTGGCCTTGCCTCCATTCTGTACTCTAAATTTAAAGCACAAATTGGTCTGAGAAGTCAGTCTTGCTTCTGGTGAGCAGTCCTTGGCACAGAACCTATATCAAGTAAATTCCCCAAACTTCCTTCTGGCCCTCAGTTCCCATGATAGTGTGGCTTCATGTGTTGAGACAGATTAGAAAATGTAACCTGGTGTCCTGATGTGTATTTTTCTGTCATTCACTTTCACTTCATTGTGAAGTGTGCTCCAATAGAGCAAAAGACATTTGAGCACTCATTAAAACAAACTAGCTAATAAGAAACTAGATGGCCCAGGGGATAATGGCAGATCTCATTGTAAGATTAAAAGAAACAAAAAAAAAGTATTAATGATACAATTTAATTTAGCAACTGTATGTTTACAGCTTTACTTAGAATATTTTGGAAAACTTGGATATATTTCACTAGAATTGTATGTGCATATATAATTGTGTTTTTCTTTTGTCAGTTTTTGTATTCTTACATATTGAGATCATTTATAATTTAAACTTGAAATACAACTTGAATTAGATCCCATATATTGATTTACTCTCTAGGAAGCTTTCAGCTTATTAGTCAGCCTTATCTACACACACACACACACACACACATATGCATGCACGCACACACACACACATACACACATATATAAATATAACTAGCAGAGAAGTCTCTGCTAAAAATGGCTGCAGCAGACCAATTTTGTGATAATGTATGAATTTGTTTTTAAGTGAACATCAGATACTTTTTTCTATTTTCTTTCTCATAAAGATAACACATACAGGAATACTGTTCTAATGGACTCTATGCACACGCTTGGAGCATCTAGCTCAGATATCACAACTGTATTTGCTAGAATGATTTGTCAGTCCATTGTGTTACGTGATTGTCAAATTGTACCTTCTAGTTTGGATAACTTAAAAATAAGTTTATACTTTAATAGGAAGCAGAGAGTTTGATCAAAATTTACAAAATGACTGCAGGGTTTTGAAATGGAGCAAATTTTACACATAGTTTTGATCTTTTTCAGAGTCAATAGTGGGTGCAGTCTCTCTGTCTCTTTGTCCCAAAAAGAAATGTCAGTCTAATATTCACAGGTCACAGAATCAAGCAAGTCCTGTTGCTGTAGCCAGAAAAGAGCCAGGAGACCTTTTTTTAACTGGCTGTTTTATTTGTATCAGTCTATCAAGCCCTATAATTATGCTTGACTGACAGACATATGATGTTATTGTTGGTCGTGTAGAACCCTCTGAGGTGTGAAATACGACGCTGTTGTACAGCCTGCTCTGTCCTGTCCACCTTTAACAATTGTCAACTTGGTTTGAAACCTAAAATCTTGTTGACAGATGAATGAAGCAGACTTGGCCAAGTTAAGCTTGCAATGCAATTTCTGCCAATGTGGTAGATGAATTAGGAAAATAAATCTCAGTAGAATGTTTAGATGAAAACCTCTGATACCTTTACTTCATACTGAAAAAAATGATATGATTTTTAAGTCAAATTATGTCCTTTCCTGATATACTAATAACTACAATTTATAGCAGCCACCTACCGTGTGTCACT